CGATGATAATTTTCATCGTTGCAGCTGCTGTGGCTTTAGGTAAGTAAAATCTCTTGCGGTCTATATTTGTTCAGAACGCTCACATGCTGTCATCGGAAACTGGTATATTCTATATTAAACACACATGCAACTCGTCCACAACGACGCCGGCAGTTTTCCAATGTAATTTTTTAGAAAAATCAAAAAGGGTAGTTAATTGAATTTTTTAAACTAACAAAATATGAAACTAAGCATGAGCGACTAGCAGGGGTCTATCATTGAAAAGTAAAAAGGAACGGTGCCATACTCCTAACTGAATGCAATAAAACAAGCTTGAATCGATCACCAGCGGCCGTCCTGCCAGACTGTGTCGATCGCTCTGTGACTCCAGCGAGGATCTATAGCTACTTCAGGCATATTAATTTCCTGTTCTATCCCACTCTTAACTACCCTTCTTTAATTTATCTCATCAAACATCTTAAATCTTTGAAAAATATCGCTAGTCATATACTAGGAAGTAATAGGTCATGTGGCTTTATCGGTTTGAATTTCCTGAGCAACAGGAAAATGTCTGTCAGGCATGTTGTGTCGTTGCATTTGTAGTCTCCTGAATACCCATATTAAACCTTAATGAACACTACAGTGATAAATCACCACTCCCTAATATTACATTGCTATGACAATTCCTATATTTCCTTTATCAGCTCAATTTTATAGCGCTTAACCAACTTTTCTTTTTCATTCTACTATATTAAAGTCGCCCAGACGGAATCAAAATATTTTGAAACTACTCCGAGCTTTCGCGACCGTCACGGCGCCCAAGCTCGTTCCCAGGGTCCTCCCTCGTTGCGGCTGGTTACTTACCGGCATGCCAACCAAACCCGCACTAAACCCGTGGCTTGTCCGCGACAGGTTTTTTCCATGTTGCTATACTATGGCAACAGTATTTCTCTTTCAGTCTTTATTTACCCTATTTGTTGTAAGTTACAAGATTTCATTAAATTAACTTAAGGGCTGGAGCTCTCAGCAAACCCTTATGAACTTTTCGAGGGAGATCCTCATCAGTTCCAGATTCTTCCAAATTACACGTTCGCTGTTATACAAGATATCCTTGTCCTAACGATTTGCTTTTAAAGTTTTCTTAAGCAACTTCGCAGTTAATTTTAGTATGGAATAGTTCTAACTACTACAAAAGCCTTAATGGACTGTGTGACCCCCCCACACCCCCGTCCCCCCCCCCTTCATACCCGCCTTGGGTTATGCATTTGCATCACGTCTGAGATTCATTTTTCGATTCCCCGTCAATCAATCAATCAATCAATCAATCAATCAATTAATCAATCAATCATTTGTTAGGCTGAAGAATGAACATGGATTTTGGATTTAGGTAGCTGGCAGTAATTACTAA